GACTCAACACTGGCTCTGATACCACTTAATGTAACACCCCTTTTTCTATACCCCCAAATAAACAATTAAATCATTTAGGCACTTAATAAAAAATTTCATCAGAGTATAAATTAACACATGGTATAAAAGAGGCACGTCACATTATCCAGGAAATTCAAAACACATACAACACCTGCTCATGAAGATATGCAACAAAGGGTAAATCACCACAAAGGAACTTAGTCCTTAGAACCCACACCTCAATATTTAGAATAAAAGCGGAAACATCTAAACATTGAATCACTTCATTCATATAAACATTGTATACATCAACAATTTAATTCAAGTCATAAATCATGTTTACAAAACATGCCCAGCAGATACATACACATATGTATCACAAAAGAACCAAAAGAATTCCTAACTACCTGGTGCTACATATCAGAGCCAACCGACCAAAAAGAACAAAGCCACGCTTCACAAAAGATCTCCAGCAGACCTACTCTGCAATGCCTCATAGAGCATCATAAAACAGCAGAAGGGTGAGAAACATTATCATAACAAACAATGCATATAATATATATATCTATATACACCAACATAGAATACACATAACACATTTCTCACTGCAATACATCACAATTCAATCATATATACATTGCAACACATATATAATTCACCAAGCATATCCACCATGCAAACATTCACCACTAAGCATATACAATTATGTTTAGTTCAACACTTCACATAAACATACACAATTATGTTCATTACACCAATACATCATATGGAGATAATAGTGCACTCATAGAGACCGACTCACGACTCTATGCAGATGCAAATATGGTACCGACTCATTCAGCAGGTTCAATTGAAGAATCAAATGGAACCATCGCTCATTACCGAAGTAACTCTCCGTCGGGCCTACGATGTTCACCCATCGCTCACACCCCACATGGGCACACGATGTTTCAGGATTGCTCACACCCCACGCGGGTACACAATCCGATTGCTCACACCCCACAAGGGCACACAATTGTTCTGCAGATTCTCCACGGAATCAAATATAAACTATCCCTCACACCCCACAAGGGCACACGATCGTTTTTGCAGATCCTCCTAGGGATCAAAAATAAACCATCGCTCACACCCCACAAGGGCACACGAGGTTTCTGCAGATCCTACGCGGGATCAGACACACAAGAAAGCAATCATGATGCTTCATATGCAAAATGACTCCACGCACTCTTGAAATGCATACACGTTCACAAACATACTCATGCATTCTTCACATCAAACAAGCACATACAATTATGCACATCCATATCAATCTCATCATGCATTTTTATTCAATTCAAACAAATGCACAAAATTGCCAAACGGCCACATTTCACACTTCACGATTCACAATCTAGGATTCACGCCATACAGCTACCCACAGCATTTCATATCACAATATATACTATGCACAATAAGAAAGGATTAATCATACTTGAATCGAAGAATCGACATTAGAATGAAAACACAAGAAAATAACATGCTGACACGCTCGCTGCCTTGCTCTCCTAGCGAGCTCCTAGCGAGTGCTCGCTACCTGTTCGCCTAGCGAACAAGCTCGCGAAGGCAAACAGAAGTCACTGACTTGATTCGCTATCACACTCGCTCAGCGAAGGCCTAGCAAATCCTCGCCACCCCCCTTCGCTACCTGCGAAGAACACCAAAACCATTCTGCCCAGGTCTGGGACCGTTCACTACTGGCTCGCCACAGCGAATGCTCGTGACCTGCTCGCCTAGCGAACTTTCTAGCGTGGGTCTGCGAACTCAGAAATTCCCACTGTCCAACACTCCGAAACTCCTCAAAATCTACCCGATTCAATCCCAACTCGTTCTAGTAGCCTTAGTCCAACATTCCTCGACTAAACTTTACCACTTATTCTCATTTTTAACCGTTAAAACTCGTTTTCTACTGATTAAATCAAATTCAACCTAAAAATGGAAAACGAGCAAAACTTTCCCCAATCCAAAAGCAAACCAATAAAAACATACATAATCATACACATCGAAAGAATGATAAGGTTTCACACCCTTACCCGATTAATCGAAGCTTAGAAGTTTGATTCTTGATGATTCTAGGTTTTCTCCTCTCTTTTTTTCTTCTTTCCTTTCTATTTCTTTCTATCTCTTTTCTTTTCTCTCTATTTCCACTTATACTCTTTCTATTCTATTTCTCAAAAATATCTACTAATTAAAGATTATCTAAAACACTCTCTAATTAATTCCCAAAACTCTCTGAATAATAGAACAACATAATAAGCACACATAACATATTAATATTCAATTTCCACAATTAAAAGAATAATCAATCAAAATAAATTAAAAGACTCAACAAAAATGGGAAATTCAGAATTGGGGCGTTACACATTGCGGCATCATTAAGTGCTTGCCAAGCTATGTTGTTAGTGAATCTCATGAAGGAATTGGGATGTGGTGATGATGATGCCACCACACTGTTTGTGGATAATGTTTTCACGATAAATCTTGCGAAGAATCCGATTGCACACGGAAGGCGCAAGCATATTGAGATGCGATTTTATTACTTGAGAGAATCGGTCGGTGATGGAAAGCTTAGATTGAGCTATTGCCGAAGCAAGGACCAAGTTGCGAATTTGTTGACAAAGGGGGTGACAAATGAGGTGTTCAAGAGACTGTTGAAGAGCTTGAGCATGATGAATTTGAAGCAACTAAAGTGAGGTGGTGTGTTGAAAGCTGTCAAATTTTGTTTTTGAAATTTAACAGCTTTGGCCACTTTAGTTGGTTTTTTTTGTTTTTTATTACTCTCTCATGTGTATATATACATTGTTGTAATCCCAATTCATAGTTAATGCCAATTTAGTGATTCATCCAATATTACTCTCTTCCCTATTCTCTCTTTCTCTCAATTCATCTTCTTTCTAAGTTTCTTTTCGCCATTATTACTACCTTCAAAATTCTGGTTTTATGTTTTATGTTATTCTAACATGTATTGCTACAATTATTTTGGATCTTGCCTTCGTGAGAGAAGATGGGAGGAGGATGAAGATAAAGTTTGAGAAATTCTTCATATCAGACATGGTCAATTGGATCTATCTTATAGCTTCATTTTGTTTAATTTAAATTTAAATGATACACGCGTCCTCAGTAGATTGAATGGTTTTGGATAATTGAGAAGAGTGTTATGTACAGGATCCCGATGCGTGACCATTTTATTTTGTATTATGGCCTTTTGATTGTTTGACTGACAAGTAATCAGATCAAAATGTCACGCGCGCCTGATCTGAGAGTGCAAATCTGAGCTCTATAATCTTGATCATATTACTACGCTTGGATCATGGCAATCAACTCTTGTATTTTTTATTTTTATTTTTTGCATTTAGAATGGGACCATTATCATTTGGGCCTAGACTTTTTTTTATTGTTATACCTTGGTTTCTATTATTTGCGCCACCTTTTTACCTTTTCTAATTTATTTTTTTAAAAACTCATTTCATTTATCATTTTTTTTTTATGTTGTACCACCATGCATGCTTACACCCCTTTCCTTTATTATTATTTTTTTATTTTATTTTATTAGTTATTTAGTTAACTAATTAATTAAATAAGTTGTAAATAAAATCAAATTTTCTCCAAAACAAAAATTAAATATTTGATTAAAATTAAGTAGTTTTCAAAATATCTCGTTACCTCACCATCAAATCAAAACCTTTTAGAATCATTTCCAAACCAGCGCGAACCAAATGCTTGGTCAGCATCAAGTGTTTTTCAAATTTAATCAAAAACGTTTCAAAAATATTTTTCTTAATCAAATAAGGATGAAAAAGATCATTAGGGTGCACATTCCTTTGAAATCCCGAATAATCGATCCTGAAGTACATGTCTTGATCTTATCGAGCATTTGCCTTCCATTATAAAACACTTAATCAAATTAGGATGAAAAAGGACATTGGGGTAAACACTCCTTTGAAACCCCAAATAATCGGCCCCGATATTAAGAAATGTGGTTGGGCCTAACTCAACCCTACAAAATTGGTTGGTAGAGTGAAGATTGCCTCCAGTTATAGACACATGTTAATGTCATATATTGTCCGATGTTGGACTCTTAACACCCGAGACACACGTCTTGGTCTTACCGAGCATTTATCTTCCGCAAATAATTTTCTATAAAACAAATGGATGAAAAAGAACATTGGAGTGCACATTCCTTTGAAATCTCGAATAATCAGCCCCAAAGCACATGTCTTTGTCTTACCGAACATTCGTCATCCACCTAAAAACAATCCAACCAATCAAACTATATTTTTCTTACCCTCGCGCGACGTCAAACTTTTTACAAACGAACAATGTTTTATCCATTCTATCCCGATGTAAACATACGCATAAGCCTCCCGCACGCGAACATACAAGCAACGTTTAACCGTTAGAATGCGAACTACACATCTTTCATTAAAATCAATCAATACATACGTAGTTTTCTACTAAGAACTACATAGTTTTAACTTCCTCGTCGCACCTGAGGATACATAGTAGGAGCAAAACTCGCAATCTTGTCAAGTATCTTAATAAAAAACTTATTTTTAATCATTTTCTTTTCTTTTCAAATTTTCAATAACTAGAAGAAATCAATAACGAATGCAAATATTATATTCTCAAATCTCAAGTCAATGGTTCTGATTGAGTACAGCGGATGTGAGGAGTGATAATACTTTCTCTTTGCATAATTGATTCTCAAATTTGAATTTGGCTGCAACGATCATTTTCTTTTTATTTAAAGGTTCTCTCAATATTTTCCATTTCTTTTTTAAATAAATAAATTTCAATAACAACTCTTATTATTTCGAACGTGCGAACGTCTTTAATGTTTTTTCACGCCGCGACAGTAAAATGTGAATAACATATGAGTTCATGTAGAAATTGAATCAGTTTTCCATATCCAGCAATCATGTATCATGGAGAATCCCCTAAAATTTATCTAAGTTATTGATATTTTACATGTCTTCCATCAATTCGAGTGCTGTCTCAAACAATGACTGAGTCGTGAGTTTGTGCCGATTCAGTCCAACACTCCCACAGAAAACATTAAAGTTCTCAAGGTCTGATGTTGTCTCTAACATACCCCTCAATGCTTCCTTCATTCCTAGATCTCTCAAGATATATATGTTTTCTGCTTTATCTTTCATCATCCAAATTAACAATTCTACTGTGAATCTCCTTATCCTTGGGACTTTAGATGTTGGATACTTGTGTTTCTTGAGAATCTCTACTAGTTCGTTTGCAAGTTCGGCCTCAGTGATTCCAGCATCTTTAAATAACATTCTTGATTCATGAGAATTCATGTATTTGAAAACATTTGCTGCTAGTCCAGCCATCACTTCTTGTACCTTGTTTCCTTCTGATATAATTGCTTGAAGTATCTGCATAGTTGAAAAATGCCAAAAACATTATCTAGAATTTTGTGCTATTACATATTATTCTCGAGACCAGATACATAAGTTATTCAATGAACCTGAAAATGAAAACTTTGCTTATAATAGTGATCAGAGAGTTAAGCTGATTAGGAAAAGACTTACTATTGGTGTTGCAGCTGCTACTTCCTTTAGTTGATGGAACCATTCTGATCCGCTATAGATGCATAAATTTCTTAGAATTCTAGCTGCATTGACGCGAAGCAATGGATCATTCAATGCTTCTACAAGTCTTTTCGGTAATTTCAGCTTCATAATTCGATGACAGTTACTCTCGCTATCTAACGCCAGCATTGCTAAGGATTCACCCGCAGCAACGGTTAGGTCATGTTTAGTGTCTTCTGTAATGCTGCGCTTGAAAAATATGTTGAACAATTCGCGAAGTACTCCACCTGTAGCCCCGATTTTCTCGGTTGCATCACTTTCTAATGCTAGAAAGGTTAAAATTTCAACGCTGAGTTTTTGTAGATGTGAGTGTTTCTCTCCATGTCTTAAAATATCTCTAATATTAGTTATAGTGAAAACTATCTCCGATATCTCTCTCCGAAGATGCTCCCCGCCGATTGTGCTAGCCAGGATCTTCAAAAGTTGCAGAGATCTCTTCACAGTAAGAATCTGTGATGGAGTTACATTTTCGCTTTTGAGTAAATTTTCTTCGATATGTGTGAAATCTATGATCTTAGGAAGAAGGCCTCTTGTATTTCCAATCTTCCCACAGTTCGCGTGGTCGCGTGCAAGCTTTTTTAGTATGAGAAGTCCTAAGTGGTTAGATCTCCAAACATTGTAACTTAAATGATCAAATTTAGAATTCTTTTCTCCAATTTCACCGGCTGCGGAAACTAAACTGCGGTTAGTTTGTAGAAGAGACGATATTGATTCCATAGCTCCTGGTATCCCGGCTATTCGGAGAGAATTATGCTTCATACTGGCGAGTTTTGATAAAATCTCTGCAGCTGAAAGCCTAATTTCTTGCTCATTATGATCTGTCCAATTCAACATCTCAACTAGTCTCTCGACGACTGATATCGATATTCCAATCTTTTGAAGCGTATCCTCGGAGAATCGCGCGCTGATTGAAAACTGCTTAAGAATTCTGGCTCCAATGAGCTGCTCATCAGGTGAACTAGAAGTCAAGAGTTCCATAGAAAAACTAACCATATCCATTTTCAAACCATCAAATATGCTTCCATAGATACATCTCGAATACGCATCATAAAAGAATCGTCTAACAGAAACCATTCCGGACGGTCCTAAATCGCATTCATCATTAACCTCATCCAACAGTTTATAATAACTGATTTTCCATTCCCAATAAGCTTTTTCCATTAGAAACAACAATGCTTCTGCAAGAGCCAAGGAATAAAAGATATAGAGCGCGGATTTACGGTTCCTCTTATCGGTGTCTCCATCTGCAACCACTCCAAAGTCATGCCTAACAAGCTTTATCGATGAGAGAACAACACAAGCTGCTGCAGATATAAGTTGAAGCCAGGAGAGAATTCTACTGAAATGCCTTGAAAGAAAAAACCATCTAGCATACGGTAGAAGCAGAACGTCGGAGCTAATCCACGTCCTAGTTGTCGTCCGTGATGTTGTTATTACCTCGGTTTTGTGTTTTGAACTTGACACCATTTCCTTGAAACTTCTGATTCCAAATCTAACATCAGTAATGGACCATGTAGCTTGATGCTGCCATTCAAGCTCATGGATTCTGCTGAAAATTCTAGTACCTTCAACCACAAGTAAGATGCTAACGAACCAAAAATCGGTTTTTTCTAACGTGATAGCGAAACCACCAAGAAGTACGACAGTAGCCCAGATGAAACCAAGAGTTCCTAATCCAGTTGCCGCTTTTTCAAACACTGCGAGTTGAAGAGCAAAAAGGGTCAACTTCTTTTCAGGTGCTATATTTGTTGAGGATGTTGGAGAGACGGAATTCGCAGTGTCGTTTTCTGATTTATCGATGCTACTATTTAGTAAAGAAGGCTCAAACATGGTTGTGCCTGTGCTGCCAGTTTCACTAACTTGTAGATGAATGCTTCCATCTCTTTCTGTAGAAAGATTGTGATCCATGGTTATGAGTAGTGACCAATTAGTTTGAACTTTGTTGATATTGATTGGTGTTTATTTAAATACAAGGTGTGATGAATATGAATGTTTGTAGAGAATGGCAAGCTTAAAGGTCACGTTTATATTCTGCTGCATGTTGGGGAAAGAGTAACGGCAAGCTTTTCTTTCAGCTAAATTTTCTAACAGGTTGGTTATGCTTTTGTAACACAACTACTAACAGGGTGTTTAAGGGGTGACTTTCTATTTTTTAAAGATTAAAAGTTGTGGGAATTTAGACAATATGCTATGAGAAAATAACATGAATTTTAATTATTATTGATAATAATAGTTTGATACACAAATAATCTTAATTTTTTTCCTTCTCTTTTTTTGGATTTTTTTTATATTTACGAATGAGATTTGCCTTATTTGTTAATATTTTAGAGAATATATTGTGGAGAATTTTCAGACTTTAAATATCGACATTTCTTTGTTAGAAATGTTCTATTTAATATATTTCAGTAGGCCGGAGTATCTATGAAAAAAGAGACGTCTGTGAATTTCTTGTCTGACCCACAAAAAAGAATATCAACACTTAGGTCAACAGATATTTCGGTGTACGGTTGGGTAAGAAAACATTCATGTGTGGAATTGACTAGGATTTGTCCGACCGAGAATTAAAGGTTTTATTGTGGAACAAACAACCTCAAAAGCCATTTCAAGTAAAGTAGTCAAATATGAGAATTTATGTTTTAACAATCAACATATTTTCGTATCATATTTTCATATCATTTATCTTTCGTGCAACAGGTCGTTGTCCGTTTACCTTTATTTTTCATCATTGTATAATATTTATATATAATTGAAAATTTTCTTAATATTCTACACATGTCCTGATAGTATATCAGAAGAGTTGTACAGTTTTCGAAATCTGACAATGCATCTAAATCTTAAAAGCAGTTGACTTGATTTAATGAAAAACAAATTGTAGTTTCTTGTTGTCATTTAATATTAACAAACAGGTGTTATAACCTCTGTTTATCTGTACAACATTAAACAAGCATTTGACTCTTCAATTTGTGAAGCTTAGGTGTCTCTAATCATTCTGTTTCTGGCGATGTACATTATTTATGCGTGCTTCCCACTAGAAAGAAAGGTGGATAATCATTTTGATTATTCAACCCAATTCCCTAGTAAACCATTAAACTCTATACAAAGCACAAACTGCATTCTTTTAGTTGTCATTTAAAAGCAAACATTTAGAATAATGGATCATATACCAGCTATAGTGACATGATACAGTCATTCAGAATTTATTCTTCAATGTCAAGTCAAGTAAGTGAGCATAGAATGTATGAGCATAAGGTTAAAATACAGCAACTACATAATATTGCATAGATTTTCATCAAAATAGCATTTTTACTATTTTGTCAAATGTTGAATGCTCACTTTTTATACAAGAATGATGGGAACAGTACCCCAAAACACGATCATCATTGATCACTCGTCCTCTGTTATTAACAAACTAGAGAGCAAGACAATCATAATCAGACATTGTGAAACCTTCCAAACTTCAAATCGAGGACGCAAATTGCAACACCTAATAAAAACATCGGTTAGAGACTTCATTAGCCTTTTGGCTTTCCCGTTGTTTGATAGCAATTCGCAATCGATGTTATGCAACTGATACGGGTCTGTTGTGGAACAAGAATCCAAATACCATTTGCTAGGCATAAGGGCAGATTTCAGATGCGGCAACAAATTCAACATATCCAAACTCTACCAGTTACTTCCGGCTCCACCTGGAGCAGCAGCAACTTTTCTTGCTATGTATTGAGGCTTCGTCTGAAGTCCATTAGAACCTTCAATCCCATCTTCTCCTCTGTCATTTTTACAGCTTGGATTTCTTTTAGGATATGAACGGCTAGAAGCAGCATACTGAGAAGAAACAGATGGATTTCTAACTGTCTTCCGTTGGTCAGTCCCTGCTACCCCACAATTGTAGTGCAATACGGAACTCGCATCTTTTCTGGGCCGTGGCGCAACATCTGAAACCACATCAGAAAAAACAAATTTAAATAATATCAATAGAAGTATCAATAAATATATTCACACCCAAAGATGGTAGACAATACATAAGTGTAAGGCAGAACCAATGTATTAAAACAGGATAGTAACATACAAATCTCGGTGAAAGATCTGTAACATCGTCATCTATACTTGTTTGTATGTTAATATATTGCATGCTGCTTATGCATGCTAAGAGAACAAATTGATACATTTCATTTAAGCTTTATACAAAATATTACATAAGATTGCCTAGAATTATGTCAAAAACATCACTTTTGGAGGTTAAAAATCTGGGTTGGGACCAAAATTGCAAATGTGATTCTCAGGGGACTAAAAAAATTGATTAAAAAAAAAAAAAACAGGACTATTTTCATTAGCATGATAAAAAATGGGACCACAAGGCAGTTAAACGTATTAAATAAAGTGACACTACTGACAATTTTACCATCATCTCCAGTGGATTTGAACTTTGTTCCTTGAGTTTATAAAGTCAAACCTCTTACCAATAAACTCACACCTCATTCACAAAAGACATTCAATCACAAATAACATATCACATAATCTTATTGTTTCAAAGAATGGTGAACGAAATGTAACAAGACTCGACTATGAGAACAACATTCTTTGAAGATAATTCCTGCTGTGCACATAAGAGAAGCAGAAAGGAAGAAAGCAGAGAAGAGAGGTGGAGGAGTAGCAAAATACATACTTCGATTGGTCATGACATCTTGAATACTTTGAGGAGCTTGTAAAGGAAGCCTGTTCATAGCAACACCGCCTGTCCTATCAATGGTCGGCTTCTCAACTTCTTTGATGCTGCACTTGGAGAGATCTTCTGCTGCAACCTCAGCCATATTCTGTCTAGAGTCGTCTGAATACATCATACGCTGCCTGCATTCACAACCTCAAATCAGCACAGCTGGCAGTTCAAGAGTAGATAAATGGGTGTGTTGATAAGATAAATGTGCACAGCAAAAGAAGAAAGACACATTTACAACATTCTTCAACAAAGATTAGGATACCTGGGTAATGATGCATGTTGTCTGTCAAGTGGACTAATAGTACCACCTTTCCCATAATGCTCCTCGAGGTATGCAAATTGTTTCTTGAAGTGGTCCACAGCACTATCGTACGAGTTAGGAAAAAATGAGAGGAAAAATACATATTCAAAAGATGAACTGAAATACTATATAAATTAGGTTTACAAATGTACAAGCACCCATGAAAGCATGAAATTTTACGCAAACTTACACTTTCACTAGTCTAGGTAAAAGTATTTAATAGCATCCAAACAGTAAATATTAAAAAAGGAACATTTACGATTACGATATGAGGCTTTCTACTAGAGCAAATGTTGGATCTTGGATGGAGAAAAAACGTAATAGTACCAAAAGATCTTGAATGGCTAATGAGTAACAAACAAATGCTCCCTTAACCAAACTATTGACCAAATTTATCAAGTGTAATTGTTTAGTATCAATATCAGGAAAAATATCTAACAATGCTATATACAATTTACGGATTGTAGCAAGTACTCCAAATCATGTATACACAAAAAAGTGAAACAGGAGTTTGAGTGCAGGTTCGAGAATCAATACCTTGGATACATGAATCCTGTTGGCTCTGCTCCTTCTAGATGTTCCTTTAACATCTTCGGATGGTACTCCAGAATCTCTCTGTATATAAGCTCTCGCACATCTTCCTTTGTAACCCTGCGTCTCTCAAATTCAAATTCCATCTTGCTAACTGGCTGTGCACAAGGCTCTCTCTCAAACTTGGCCAAGCCCTTAAAATATGGATCCGCTAGAGCCTAACAAAAATACATAATAACTGATGTTAAAACCAAATATGATGCGTGGAAACTGAACTGCGGATAGATAAAAATTCAACCTCTTCAGCAGTAGGTCGATCCTTAGGATCAAAGGCCAACATTCTTTCCAACACATGGAGAGCAAGGGGGTCTGCATTAGGAAACTTTTGATACAAAGGAACCGGCTTCTTCTTACGCATGCTGCTCAAGTATCTCCGAGCCTTCTCATTTCGTATCTGTTAATATACCATCAAGATTCTATTCTATTGAGTAATATACAATAAAACAATGCTAGAAGGATAGGCAATTGAAGATACCCTAGCAATGGCTTCAGGAGATGGTGTTCCAAGGAAGTCGGTCATGAGATCCAATTGATGGACAACATTCTTCCCGGGAAAAAGAGGCTTTCCAGTTAAAAGTTCGGCGAAAATGCAGCCAATGCTCCATATGTCTATAGCTGGCGTATACTGAGAGAAAAAAGTTTGCAACATTAACTAAAGGAAGTAGCATTACAAAGAATCATAAAGTTAGAAGCATCACCATCCATACACACATGAGCAACCTATATTCAACCTCACCGATGGCGATGAAAATAATAAATATACAAGTGATAGCAGATATTAAACCTTGGAGAAAAAGGATCCACACAACTCAGGAGCCCTATACCACCTTGTCGCAATATAATCCTGAAAGTAACAAAAGGGTACAAGCATGATGACCTGGAAGAACAGCTACATTCAAAGTGAGTATTTCAGGGGAAAGAGATACTTACTGTCCAGAATATAGCAGTGGGTGTATCATTGAAAGCTACTCTAGCAAGACCGAAATCGCAAATCTTCAGTTTGCAGTCAGCATTTGCTAAAATGTTTTTCGGCTTTAGATCACGATGAAAAACATTTGCTACAAACCACAACAAAATTTGAAATCAAATCATCCGCAGTAATGAAATAACTCAATTACTTCTCAACTTGAAATAATAAAACCATAACTCCGAAAACACTACATTACAAAATTCGAAACTAAAAACTAGCTAAATATAAAGATCAGATCACAACCTGTGTGTATATACTTCAATCCTCGAAGAAGCTGATAGAGAAAAAACTGGTAATGCTCAGGCGTCAAATCATCATTCGCCTTAATAACTTGATGTAAATCCGACTCCATAAGTTCAAAAACAACATATATATCTTTAAACTCCCTTCTAGAAGGCGGTAACAAAATATGTTTAATATCCACAATATCAGGATGCCTTAATAATCTAAGAAGCTTGATCTCACGCAAAATACGCGTAGCATCAGAAACATGTTCGAATATATCAGTAATTTTCTTTATCGCAACCTTCTCGCCAGTGTGTGTATCATACGCAGAACAAACCACACCATAGCTTCCTTTACCAATCACTTCCTCTATCATGTATCTACTCCCTTCACCATATTCTGTAAAGAAATCTACATCTACAGATGACTGCATAAACACAACAAATTAAACATATGCTAATACAAATCCACGGTTTCATAACATAAGAAGCATTTAAAGAAAAACTAAAACAAAATGTTCCTATGAAAGATAAGCACACATTTAAAGATAAACTTTATATATATGAAATTTGAGTAACTTTACCTTTTTTCTCTGATCAGGAGGCATATTAGAAACTAAGGATAAAAACTCAGATCAATGAACTTCTACTAGAATCCCCAGATCACGGGAAGGAAAAAAAAAAAGAGAACTTCAAAAAAAAAAAAGCTTGAAGTGTGTTATGTGAGGAAAGAGAAACAAGAAACGAGGTAAAAGAAAGACAAAATTGGCGGAAGTAACAAAAGTACTAGGTTAGAGACGATGTTGGAGAAATTAAGGTAAGAATCAGCGGGAAAAACTAACAAGGATCTAGTGTGGCGATAATCACTAACGAAGCAAAAAGGGAATGGATAAATTAAAATTAAAATTAATAATAATAAAAAAAAGAAATGGTTGAGATTTGAGAGAGTAATAATAAGATTGAAAGTTGAGAGTGAAGAAGAAGAAGAATAAGAGTTTTGGATCTTGAAGAGTAGAGAGTAATAGAGCATGTACTTGAAGCTGAAGGAAGGTGAATATGGTTCAGAATCGGCGAGAAATACATTTATTTTTTAGTTTTATTTTTTTTGGTCAAAAATTAAAGTTATGTTTAAAAGATTAAGAAGAGAATAAATAATTTATTTAATAATGAAAAATACTGGTCTATTTGTATGGTTTTGAGAAAAAAGCAAATTTAGAAGAAAAGGTTGAGATATTTTTAACTATAATATAATCTCTCTGTTCCAAATTATGAAGTATTTTAGTTATTTTACAAATATTATAGTATATAATTAATTTTATATAAAAAATTATGAGATAATTTATGAAATTGTTTTTTATTAATTGTATGGTATGAAATAAAGATTTTGAAAATTTGAAAAAAGGAAGAATAATAAATGATAAAATATAGTAAAAAGTACATCAATTTTAAAATAACTTATAATTTGATAATAAAGAGGTAGTACATTGAGTTTAATTAAATAAAAGTATGAATTATAGATTTTATTTCAAGATGTATAGAATAATTTAAATTGATTAATGTTAAGGGAAAAATATTATAAAGATTTAAAAAAATTTGTTTAATTTTTTTGTGAAGTGATTATATTTTTATTATTATTATTTCACCTAAATAAATGTTTATTTAAAAATTAAATATTTAAGAAATTTTAAATTATCATTTTTTTATGATTATTTATTTTTCATCTTTATTCCACTTTATAAAACAAATAATGTTTATTTGAAAACTAAGTTTTAACCTGTTATTGACAGCTTTGAAATTTTAAGATTATTCTTTGAAATTTAGCATGTATTTGAATTAACATTTGCAATTTTATTTTTAAATAAACGCAATTTTTTAAAAGGACAATTAAAAACGAACTTTCTCTAATACAATTTACTTTAAAAAGATTGTTTAAATTATATTAATTGATAATACTATTAAATGGTTAATTACTAACCAGTAATCTCTCATACCTTATTTATAATTTTAAAAAATTCTAAATTTTGTTGGCCTAAATATCAGTAAATATTAAAAATTTCCATACGCGTTTAATCTATTTATTCAATAACTATCTCTATATTAATTACTTGTTAAAAACTTATTTCAATTAAAAATAAATAAATAGTTGTGTTAATTTCTACATTTATATATAAAAAAATTATCACAACTATTTATTCATTTTTAATTAAAAATTGGGGTCGGAGTAATATATATTTTATTACATTTTTTAAAATTAAAGTCTGAGTAATATATACTTCATTACATAATATATTATATTGTTTTGCCAACACTTTTTCTGAAAAGTGTTCACTAAAAATCTACTGTTAATTTAATCATCAGTGCAAAATAAAATATAAAAAGAGGTATTTTGCTAAATTAATAATTAATTCCATTTACGCAAAATCAAGTTTTATAAGAAAAAATACATGTTTCTCAAAAAAAATCCTGCATTTAAGGATGAAAGTATATGTTCTACCTTAAAAAGACTAAAATAAGGTGATCATAAATTGTATCGATGTTATGTAAACTACTTCGGGAGAATCCTACGCATCAACAATACAAAAGTCCCAAGTGTTGTATCCCAGCATATTTGAGCTGTGATTGTAAATATTTGTTTAGAAAATTATTGTAATTTAAAATGGACAAACAGACAACGCATCACGTGAGGTTTCAATCACATTTCTCATCCAGGAAATATATAATAGGGGATGTCGTCTTTCTAGCACCATCAATCTACACTTGTAAACTAATTAGAGTTTGGATCTAGTTTTGAACTGGTTTACATTAATGAAGTTAGGACAGTACCAGACAAAAATCATACATTGTTCATGAGATTATTGATTTGTAAGTAACCGTGTCAACAGTCAAACCTTGCAATGTTTTACTAGTAACAAAATTTAAACTGGGCCATGGATTGTTCATAGGAAAAGAGAAATGTACACGTTTCTAACTTGTAATATTCAGATGTTTCATGAAATTTATCTGTCGACTTATAATAGTAATTCATTCTCCTTAAATTCATCAAAAGATATTGTTCAAACCGATTCATTAAATGATGTTAGATATCTTTAAAATACATTTTTAATATTAAAAAAATTAGACAGAATGCTACTCAATAATCTTTTAGATTATGGATTTGGAACAATGACAATATAATATAACAGAGATATTTAAAACATAAAAATTTCTACGTTGTTTAATCTAATTTCAGAACTAGTTGATACTCTACATAATATTGACACCTAACTGGACCATACCAATTCAAACAACTCTTTATGCTCCAACATTATAATAAAAGTCTTTTAACATTCAAAACAAGTATGCCATACATTCCAGTACAACCAAAAATTTATAGAAAAAATCAGATAAATTATACTGACCAACTAGGTTTCCCAAAATAAAATAAAATCACATCACAAAAACAGCTCCTGCAATTACTAGGGAACTAGGATCCTCCATTACATCCAGTTGAAATCACAAAAATTCTCAGTAGAAGAAGCCAAGGACCTTACCACCAACATTCTTTCTCCTAGCCTCTTCATGATCCATAATGCCAGCAGAAGTGGTCAAAACGATGTAACCAAACTGCATATTTTTGAATTATCAAAACGTAAGGGATAACAGAAAAAACCATAGACAAGATAAAAGACAATACATCTGAATTAAATTGAAAATAACAGCTGAGTTCAATTGAGAAGACCGGCAACAATTTGACACTAGAAACAAACAATTCTTGAGATGCGCCACTAAACCAAACACACATCTGAGTTCAATTGAAAAAACAGGGTTCAAATGAAAATACCGTCAACAAAGTCAAGAATTCACACAAACAATTGTTGAAATGTGTCACTAAACCCACTCATACAGCCAAGAATTGGATCTAAAGTTCAAACAAGACTTTCAGGAATAAATTGATATTTTTTCATTCCAAAGAGACCAAATAGTACCAATTTAGGTTTTGATTAAAAAAACAACAGCATAAGAATTAATAACCACACAAAAGAAACACGCCAAGCAACGACTGTTACTCAGAACCCACACATGACCCTAAAAATTAACATCCAAAACTGGGAATTGTTAAGGACTAAATTGGTATACTTCATTCTAAAGAGACCAAGCAGTACCAAATGAAGTCTTTAGATTAAAAGACTCACTCGCAGAATAAGAGTTAGAAACCATACAATAGAAACATGACACCTTACTAAAGGAAGGATCATAGTTTCAAACTAATTAACTTAGCTAGACATAATGATGGTACCATACAACCAGGTTAATAATTAAACAAGCTAGTGTGTAAAAATAGGTCAATTTCAGATACAGCAATAGCTATACATAATGATGGTAGTATATGCACTAGAAGTAGATCACGCAAGTATAGTCATTCAAGGGAGTGAATGAGGAAAAAAATTAGGGTTACGAATTACCTGTCTAGATGGGAGAAGTCTTTCAGTCCAACCTTCAATCTCCTTAACAGCAACATCAAAACGAGGACTAATTACCCCGCATTTGTTCAACCTACCATTCAATTCAACAACAATCTTTCCAGCTCTGTGATCATCAACATACTCAAACTCTCCAATATATCCTATAAATCATCAACCAAAAAAATCAAATCAAAAACCCTAAACAAATTAAATCATAACACTCGACTAAAAAACAACGATTATTGAAAAATACCGTGCTTCTGCATAACAATAAGGAACTTGATGATAACTTTGGATGAAGGCCTTATCATGACTTGGCGCTTTCCTCTTTTCTCAGCATTGTACATACTCTTTAGAGCATCGTTCAACACACTAACTCTCACCATGGTTACTGAGATTCACAAGTTTCGATTACAATTCAATTACAGCTAAATAATGATCAAATGTAACAGTTTACAGAAGATCGATCTTACCGAAAAGAAGAGAAGGGTGGCTGAAACACCGTCGCCGTCGATTCAAGCTCAGAAATCGTAAAGAGTTGAAATGAAAATCGCGGCTCTGTTTATAAGTGAGGTTGAAACTTATAAATTTAGGGTTTTGATGCATTTTTTCGATTATGGGGCTTTCTTAATGGGCCTGTTATGGGCCTTTCTCTTACTTCCTGACCCAAAATAAGCAAGAAATTAACCTCTCACCCCATACTATAATCTAGCTCCCCACATGAGTTATACTTTTATTCTTATGCCCTTAATCAATTTTTTTTTATTTGACTTAAATAGTCTTATGGTCCTTATAAGTTAGTAAATTTTTTATTTTGGTCTATATATTTTCTTTTGTCTGAGTCCATATATCTCACTTTTATGTTGACGTTAGTCTTTGGAGTTAGAACTATGTTAAAAAAAATTGACTTGACTAGCGGCGCACACGTAGAATTCACTTAAAATTTTATGTGGAAAATCTAGTGGAGAGTGGCCTTGAAAAGGATGACTAAACCCCAAAAGGACACCATGTTTGCATCTCTTCTTCATTTATTATTCATCTCTTATTCTTCATCTCTTCTTCCTCAAATCGTAGTGCAGATTCAACCATGGCAATATCATTTATAGGTAATTTATGTGAGTCTCAAATTCCAGTTTGTGGTTGCATAAAAAAAATGATTATGTTCATCTCAAATTCAACTAAAAAACCCTAAAAGAATATTTTGGAAATGTTTTAATCCGGAATTAGATTGCAATTTATTCATATGGGATGATGATCCTAAACGCAACACATCAAGTCAACACAAAAACTCAATTGTATGCAATTTCTAGAAGGTAGTTCAGAAATTAGGTTGTATCATTAAAGATCTTAAAGCTAGGAAAAAAGAGAAAATGAAATTGAAGTTGGAAAACGAAAGGAAGAAGACCAAAATGTTTAAGCTTTTACTGACTCATTCATGGTGTTTGTTTTTTGCCTATCATAAATGGTAATGTGTTTCATGTTCATGGTGCCTGTAATTTTTGTTTTTGTTTTAGTCCCTAGAAGAATTATAGTTGTTGAATTTCGTCCATGTAAGGCTTAATTATGGAATGAATCAAAACCTATGAAATTTTTTATTTATGTCCTTATATATTTGTAGCTTTTGTTTTGCTTCTTTCTTTCTTAATGATTTGTTTGTTTACATCCCTATTTGTTAATGATTTATTTGTATTTCACGCGCTTACTTAATATTGTATAACATAAAGGCATATAAAGTTGTCTCGACATACAACAAGACACACCATACATAAACCATAATGATGTCTCATGTAACGCCTTGTATAATATATATCTAGAATAATACTATACAGATTAATTTTACAAGTGTTCCCAGAATTGACTCTTCTTACTTTGCAGAGTATCTCCACAAAAGGTCGTATTATTTCACTGCATCATCTTCAATCAAGCCTTTGCAATTTGTTTGTCATTTCATGCCCTGCTCATATTTATACCAATATTAAATTTCTCCTAATCTCATGGACAATATCATGACTCTTAACACCATCTGAAAATGCCACTCTAGTTGCCACAGTTTTAGCAACCCACTTAAAACTGGCTGAACTATTATTCAATATCCTACCACACATGTGTGTTCCAACCCATTTCTTCATTTTATATGTGTGCTTATTTCCAAGTTTACTTACAAGTGATAAAAACCCACATTTTCCCTTGCAGATTACCTTTACTCTAACTTTGTCATTTCTCACATACTTTATCTGTCTACCATTTCATATTGACCATCTAGTTATTGCTTCTTTAAATTCTTCAAGTGATACAAACTTCAATCCCACTTTGAAATTTGTAATTATTGTCAAAGTTCTCCATCTTAAACCTTTGATATTTTGGTTCCTTCTCTCCATCAAAAGCATCAGGGTCACTACTACCAAGCTCATCACTAGCATAGTTGATGTTCATCTCATTTTCACACCACTAGATGACCCTACATTATCAACACCAATTGATACTTTCTTTGGAGTATGCTTGTACTTCCTTGCTGCAAATTTTATCCTACCTCGTTTACCCCTTTCTTCAACTTGATTTTCAATAACATCAAAGCAATGATCTAACCCAAGAGCCCTTTCATCTCACTATTATCAAATGATAAACCATCAACTTCAAAGTCATTATCCTCACTGTCCTTACTGTCCTCATTTTCATCAAATACTTCAACTTGTTAAACACCACCAACATTAGCTTCTTCAACTTGTTCAACACCACCAACATTAGCTTCTTCAACTTGTTCAACACCAGCATCATTACCTACTTCAACATTTTCAACACCACCAACATAATTACCTAGTTCATCTTGTTCAAAACCACCAATATCATCTTCTTGAATACCACCTACATCAATTTCTCGTGTGTTGTCTTTACCTTTATGCTCAACGTATATGTGCACTGCACATTTCATTTCCATGGCATATTGATATACCTTATTAGTATCACTATCACTAACCATTTTACTATACCTATCAGCATCGCTATTATACCACCATAACCAATACTCTAAATGATCAAGCTTAGTTTTCTCTTTCACGATACATGTTGCTTCAAATAAGCTCTACCTATCTTGATCTATTTTTACTACATGCTTGTTTCCCCCAGTGTAATGTATTAAACAATCCCTATCAAATATACCCCTGTAATGAAAAATCAAACTGAACTCCATAACATTCAAGTTTCAAGAAGACACAGTGAACAGAGCTAACTCAACGATAGAAGGAAGGAAAAAGATACCATAGATGAGATTGAGTTCCACATATGCGATTGTGTTACTTGGTCATGTAATCGAACATTTTCTCTTCTCCGTTCCTTTGTCTCATTCATCCCATAACAAGAGTTTCTTTTTAATTCCAATATACAAAACCTAGTTTACAAGGACTAAAAGCAAAAGCATTTTTTTGGGGGAAATAAAAGACTATCCATGTATGTATTGTGTTAAATATAAAATAGATGTAAAACAATTCCACGTGTGCATCGTTAGCCAAGTCAAATTTTTCTTAACAGAGTTCTAACCCCAAGGACTAAGACCAACACAAAAGTGAAATATAAAGACTCAGACAAAAAAAGATGCAGGGACCACACTCAAAAACTCGCTAGCTTACAGGGACAAAATGACTATTTAAGCCTTTTTGTTTTTTAAAAGTACTTTCAACTACCAGATATTTTGCATTTATTTGAATAAATACTGGATATTGCAAAATAATATCGAACTTTTTAAGTTTATTTGAAGAAATGCTAAATATTTATTAAAAAATGGTAAAAATGCATTGTGTTTTGGAAATTGTATGATAAAATACCAGATTTGTCAAATATATGGTGCATTTATACCGATTTTTAAAATAAATATGGTAATCTATACTATGTACCGGATATATTGAAAAATTGAAAATATCAAGTTTTTCAATAAATCTAGTACATACCAAATTTTCTGATATTTGAAATATCCAGTAAGCAGTTGGGTTTTTTAAAAAAAAAAATTTGAACTTAAATTTTTGACATGTTTAACGAAACAGTTAGATAATATAACAATTTACCAAATAAAATATATAAATATATTGCAAAATATACTACAATATCAATACAAAACAAATTATGTTGACTTTCTAACTTCTTTTTTCCAATGCCTTATGTGCATGTGTTGTTTTGCGGCTATTGCACATTCGAGGGCAGAACTTGCTCCCTCGTCGGGCAGGACAACGTGTTTTTCACACGTTATCCACGTGCCCCCCTCCGCGGGGACACGTCACCAACCAACTGCTCACCTCCGAAAGAGCAGGTCAAACCCACTTTCCGGAGATCACGGGACAGTTGGACTAGGGCGAAGACCACTTCCTGGTCTTCACTACGCCACGTAAGCCCTAGCAGTCACCTGGGTTGGGCCTGGTGTCGCTACTCGAAAAATGCATCGTGCAACGACGGGGAGGCGAAAAAGATAGACAGAAGAGTCGCCACCGAACTTTATTTATCCCATGAGGGGAAAGGAAAATATCGAGAAAACCTTAAGAAAGAAATGGATAAGATGGTCTCGCGACCAAGAATGGGTTCGGGAGCCGGTTATGCGAAGGGAAGGTATTAGCACCCCTCGCATCCATCGTACTCGATGGGAACCTTTTGTTTGTCGATGTGTGAAATTATTTGCTTAAACATTATGCTATAAAAGTGTGTTCCAAATGGAGAGAGAGAGAGAGAGAGAGAGAGAGAGAGAGAGAGAGAGAGAGAGAGAGAGAGAGAGAGAGAGAGAGAGAGAGAGAGAGAGAGAGAGAGAGAGAGAGAGAGAGAGAGAGAGAGGAGAGAGAGAAAGAAAGGGTTAGAAACAGAGAAAGAGAGGTAACGAGGAAGAAGAGAGAAAGAACAGACTCGGTAGGACTTCGCGGTCCTATGCCTACGTATTCTCAACAGATGTGAGAAAGTCAGAGTCGACGTAGTTCGGGGAACTACAGATATGGGGGGATGTGCTCGGCAAGGATTGTGGCCCTTGTGCCTACGTATCTTTACTTGAGAAAGTAAAGAATCAGAGCAGCTGTAGTTCGGCCTACGGTATGTTGATGTTTTTTATGGATGATGCTATCGTGCGCATTCTAGCAGTTAGGTGTTTTGCTGTTCGCTCGTTGGAGACTTAGGCATTACCTGTTTGCGGTAGAACGGACGTAACATATCCTTTTTGAAAGATTAGGTTAGTTTTCGCCGCGCGGGGCAAGAAGTCACGTTTGATTGATTGGATTGTTTTTTAGGGGGCGAGACGGGTCCTCGGATAGTAACCCCTACGGGTAGTACCCAATTCGTTATCTCAAAGTTTTTGTTGTAAAAATGTGTGGCGAACATAGCGTCTTCGTATCGAAAGACGAGTATCAAGACCACACACACT